AGAGTTAGAAACATCGATGAGAGAGAATCATCAATCAGCTGCCTCCTGCAAACCCCCCACTGGGGATGTGCCCGCAACCAAGGTACATGCCCTTGACCGAAATCGAACTCAGGACCCTTCAGTCTGCAGGCTGATGCTCTATCCACTGAGCCAAACCGGTTTCGGCTGAGGACCACACTTTAAATAGCAGTGAGATAGAGCAATTTTTCTTTTTTTTTTTGGGGGGGGGGTGGTTCTCAGAAACTCTTTACTTAAAAATGACAGAGAGACTCCCCAAAAGCTATTGTTATAGTAGGTTATAACTAGTGCTACTTATCGAAAGAGAAAAAGTGTTAAATCTAGGTATTCACAAGTGATGACCTCCTCATGTCCTGTGGCCTCTAAAACTCCAGTGTGCACTTGTGAGGGAATGAGAGTGAAAAATTTCAGATGCTTAGTACTATCACAAAATATTTTAAAAAAAATATATATTTTATTGATTTTGTACAGAGAGGAAGGTAGAGAGATAGAGAGTTAGAAACATCGATGAGAGAGAGTCATCGATCAACTGCCTCTTGCATACCCCCTACTGCGGATATGCCTGCAACCAAGGTACATGCCCTTGACCGGAATCGAACCTGGGACCTTTCAGTCCCCAAGCCGACGCTCTATCCATTGAGTCCAACCGGTTTCGGCACTATCACAAAATACTTTTGACATTGAAGACCTCCTGAAAGGTCTCAAGGTCCCCCAGGATTTCTTGAGATACTATTTGAAAACAACTGGTACAGGGGAACTAGCTATTTGAGGCTGTCCCAGTCGAGGGCCTTTTACTTATAGGAAATTTAACAGCTTAAGCACAAAGTTGCTGGGACATTCTCCAACTTTGAGCAATGTTTGAAGATTAAAACCTCAGGAAGGGCAGGAGAGTGGCAGGGATTCGGGATTGGGAAAGAGGAAAGCATCCTGGAACCTTCTGGTCTTTACTTCTTCATTCTTCTCTCGCCTTTTCTGTTTCTTTGTGCACATGACCCCCATGGCTTCTGAACTGTTAGATCCCTAGGTCAGCTGGCCTGTACTAACCAACTGTTTTCCAATTCCAAGTTCTTTGGAACTAGAGTCTGATTTGTCCAGTTTAGCTCAAGGTGTCCATTCCTGAGCCAGCCAGGCAGCTCCGCGCCATGTGGTGCAGTCATGGCCTACCCGTGTGTGAATGAGACATGGGGTGGAATGGGTGGGCACTTCTCAGAAGGGGAAGAACTGGATTCTTTTGGGTAACCAGCTTTGAAATTTTCTGTAACAGTCTGGAAACCTTGGTCCTGTTTCTCCTACTCGTTCAATGACTGGACAAGTTGTGAACTCTCCCTGGACCTGTTTTATCAAGTGCCAAATGGGAATAATAGTATTTGCTCTAATTCATAGGTTACTGTAGGAATTAAATGAGCTAATATATGGGAAGGAGCTTCAGATGCCATAGTGCTAAGTGTTGGGAATGCATAATAACGTATGAAATGATCTTTGCTCTCAAGGATGTTGGAATTAAATTGAGGAGAAAATACGAACAGCCATGATGCAATTCGAAAGTACAGGCTTTTGACTGTGCACTAACCAAATGCAGTGGGAGTTCAGAGGGAAGAGAGAGATCAGCTTGGGCAGGGAGGGGAACTAATTTGTTGAGCACTTCCTGCAGACGTAGCACTATCCTCTGTGGTTTCTCACACCCTTAGTTCTTTTTCAACAACCCTGCAGTAGAGATGTTGCTGTACCCATTTTACAGTTAAGAAAGGGAAAGCTTAGAGAAGTAACTTGTCCAAAGACACATGGCTGGTATTTAAACCTGTGTCTGCATCATTAAAGCTGATGTTGTTTTTACTCATCAATGTGGCAAGAAGAGGATTCTTGGAGGAGTGGAATGTTAGCAGGACTAACGCAGGGATCAGATGGGGATGGGCAGAGAGGCTGGTCCAAGACAGGGATCATTAAAAATAAAGATGTGAGCTTGAGGTGAACCTAGGGGCATTGGCATCAGGTCACCATTGGATGTCAGTGGGTTTTAGATGGCAATGAATGAATGACCATGGGTTTCTGTCCTTCACTCCTTTAAAAAAAAATGTTTTTATTGATTTCAGAGAGATGAAGGGAGAGGGAAAGAGGGACAGAAACATCAATGATGAGAGAGAATCGCTGATCAGCTGCTTCCTTCATGTCCCCTACTGGCAATTGAGTTTTAAAGCCAGGCAGGTACCCTGGTTCATGGGTCAATGCTCAACCACTGAGCAATACCGGCCAGGCCCTTCACTCCTTTTGTCTAATGGGTCAAGGAGTCATACAGGATGGATTGGATAGGGTGATGCAGAGGTAGAACACCAGTGTGTGGGTCCTTTGAGCAGTGCAGAGGTCAGTTGATGAGCTTCTGGATTAAAATGAGGACTGGAAGGGAAATGCAAAGCCCAAGATGATCCTTGAAGGAAGGAACAATAGCACTTGGATATAGAGAATAAAAGAGAAGAACCGAAGATGATTGACACACAGATCCACTCCTGGACTTTTCTTCAGCAAATGTTTATTAAGTGCTTCTTGAATGGCTGTCCCCCTGCCAGGTCCCAAGGACAGTTAGTTGTGGCCAAAAGAGACATGTGCTCCACCCTCATAGGGGGATGACAAGAAAATCACGTACACCAACCAACACACGTGCGATGTGATGTCAGACAGTGTTAAGTGTGGGATAAAACAGGAAGCAAGGTGGGTGCAGAAAGAGAACAATGGAGAGGGTTCGAGTAGACATATGTTGATCAGGGAGCCCAATTGGTGTGATTCAGTGGTTGAACATTGACCTATGAACCAGGGGGTCATGATTCGATTATGGGTCAGGGCACATGCCTGGGTTGTGGGCTCAATCCCCAATGTGGGGTGTGCAGGAGGCAGCCAATCCATGATTCTCTCATTATTGATGTTTCTATTTCTCTCTCAAATAAATACAAATATATTTTTAAAAATTTTGATCAGGGAGGGCTTCTTTGAGGAGGTAGCATTTGAATAACATGAGTAAGATTCTGAGCTTGAGATATTCTGGGAGACTAGAGAGCTACTGCCAGGAAGAATCCCTGGCATGTGCCCTCAGTGTTCTATAGCTATGACCCTCCCCCTCCCCCCCTTTGCAGTTGAGTAAACTGAGGTGCAGGGAGAGTGCGGGAGCCTGCCGTCACCTGGCTGGTCAGCCCTGCAGAGTGAAACGGAACCCTGGCTCTCAGCTGGGCCCTCCCCTCTCCCCTCTGAGCCTCCGGTTCCACAAAGCTCCTCCTGTCCCTGCCGGTATTTTTAGTCTCTAAGAGCCCCTTCCCTGGGACTGCTGCTGCCTCGTCATTCTGCCTGACTTGCTTTCACTTGCTCCAGGGCGACTGTGACAGGGCTGTGGGCTGCACATGTCAAGCTGTCCCTGAGCTGGCTTCACTGAGAGGGTTGGGGTGTGTGTGTATGGGGGGCAAGGGCAGTTCAGGGTCACCACCCTCCGTGTCATGGCGGGCAGGAAAGCCTGTCAGTGCCTCAGGGTGACTGTAGTGCGCCTCACAGCTCCCTCTTTGGGTCAGCTCCAAGTAATGAGGGCGAGGGGAGGGGGCTACTGGCTGTCATGTGCAGAGGGTGAGGGACTGGGAGGCAAAGCGAGGGGAAGAGCAGAGGGAGGGAGGAAGAGGGGTGTGGGGTTTTGTAATTCGTGGTGGAGAGACAAGCTGAGGAGGTGGTAGCTTGTCAGGTGGTGTTGATTGTGAAGTGTGTGTGGGGGTTAGGTGAGTGAGAGAGGGAGAGAGAGAGGGTGAGAGGGAGGGTGGGGGGAGAGAGAGAAAGAGAGAGAGAGAGAGAGAGAGAGGGCATGCATACACAAGCAGCCACGTCAGGCTTTTGACCCTGCAGTCCCCAGGGCTACTTTTCTAGGCCAGGCCCCTGGGACTTCCCTATCGTCCCTGCATTCCAGGTGGCTGCCATTTTGCTTCTTATCTGCTGGGCCTTTCTCTCTGCCCCCAAAGACACAGCAGACCCTTTTCTGGGTTGGGAGTTTCCTGCTGCTCATTACCAGAGAATGACCCAAAGAGGCTAGGGTGCTACACACGTGACCAACGTGGGACTTCCAGAGTTTTAAAAATAAACCTTGCTGCATTCTTGCATTTACTGTCCTGGGCTGCAAAGCTGCCCGCTCCTCTCTAGCTGGTCTCTTCTAGCCTTGAGGCAGAGCTCAGCCCACCCCCTGCCCAGGCTGTGCCGACCCTTTCTGGAATGCACACGGTGCTGGTGTCAGCGGTCCAGCCTCAGGATCTAAGGGTTCTGTCGCTGGCTGTAGGCTCACGGCAGACCACAGGAGGCCTCAGCTGAAGCCTGCCTCTGGAGTTGGCTGAGCTGGGAGAGGGGAGCTCCTCACACCCTCTGGGCTCATGCCCTGTGCCCTGGTGCCAGGCCTGGCTGGCTCATGAGAGACTTTAGTGGGTGAGTGTGAACCAAGGGGCTTGGCCTGATAACAGTAATGATGCTTCTTGCTCCAACACGCCTGTCCTCTGATCAGCTGACGGGAGCCAGTTGGCATCTCCTTTTGGTAGCAACAAAGCTGCAAGACTAAGGAGCTGGAGGAAGAGGTCCCACCAGCAGCAGGAGAGTATGGGCATTTGGTCAGCAGAGGCTTTGCAAGCGAGACTGTCCTGAGTTAATTTCCTGGCTCTGCACTTAGTAGCTGAGTGGCCTTACCCAAACTACTTACCCTCTCCGGTTGCCTCGGTTTTCTGATCTGTTACATGGGGCCCGCAGTAGTGTCTCCCTCTGGGATCTGTGAGTAGTGGAGCGCTTTGGGGTAAGTTACCTCATTTCCCTGGGCCTTAGTTTCCCGGCCTGTAAAATGGGGTTGGGACGGGCATAAATGTGATGGAAGTGGAACAAGGAAGTGCAGGTGAGGCGCTCGGGGCCTCACAGAGCACATTCTCAGGACCTGTGGTGACGAACAGAATAACAAGCAACGTGAAACCCCAATGTCTCCCCAGGCCCGTGGCTCTGCAGGTGGCAGGAGGAGGCATGACCCCGCCTCTCAGGAAGACCACGACAAACCTTACGTCTGTGACAGTAAGTACAAGCCACGCCGCCTTCCTTCTCCTGCCCCTGCCCTCACCCCTGTCCCCACTGTTCCTGTGCTTCCCTGCCTGTCAGCCCCCAGCCCCCAGCCCCCAGGCGTGCTGGCTCCTCCTCTGGGACTTGCACCCCAGCTCCCGTGCCTGCACCTCCCCTCAGACATCACCTCCTCTCTGCCCTTGTGTTTCTGCATGAGGAGGGCAAGTGGGAGGCCTTGGGTGCTTGCAGTCCCCTTCTTTTAGCTTTTCTCTGTTCCTGTGTCTTTCACTGTTTCCTTAAGATCCCCTATTGCTTTCTCTGCTTCTGAGAATTACAAACAACAGCATAACTCAGAATCCTCCAACAGAAGTACTTGGTTCCTGTGGCTTTTCATTTGTTTCCCTTTAATTCCCTTTTTCTCTTCCTCCTGTCCTACATAGGGCAAGTTACGACTTCTTTACTTAGTTAATAAATGGGCCTCGATCCATCTCCAGCCTTTCTTGCCCGATTCAGAAACATCTTTTGGACAAGCGATGGCCTGGCTCCTGGGTTTGGGGTCTGCAGGCAGATCTGGGGAGGACCGGGGGAGAGAGTGCCGGTTGCAGTGATGGTGGGTGGACCAGGGACTGGTGTCAGCGGTATAAGCTTTGCTGCCAGCTGGAGAGCTTTTGTCTTTCTCACCTGCCAGAGCATTGGGTGGTGGGTTAAAAGTCCCTGCCCTAGTTATCTTCTCACTGTATCAAGCACCATCTGCTCATTCCATGGCCAGGGCAGCCCTCAAAACCGCATTCCCTGAGCCTCTTCCCTTCCCATCTTCTCCTTTCTCTGAGGATGCAGAGCTCTGCCTTCCGGTGTCCCATCCTGGTGTAGTGATCCCTTCCAGTGTCCCGTCCTGGTGCAGTGCTCCCTTCCGGTGTCCCGTCCTGGTGCAGTGGTCTTTTCTGGTGTCCCGTCCTGGTGCAGTGCTCCCTTCTGGTGTCCCGTTCTGATGCAGTGCTCCCTTCCGGTGTCCCGTCCTGGTGCAGCTGTCCCTTCTGGTGTCCCGTCCATCTCATCAGTGTTTGCAGTCTCTGTGAGAGCAGGGGGAGAAGTTGGGAAGATGGGGCTTAGGGGGTACTTTGGAGGTGGTGCTATTTTCCTCCTTTTTCACTGCACTCTTGATTTAAAAAATTTGTTCTGTGGCCAGTGAGGTGACAGCTGGTTGGAGAACATTTTGTTATTTAAAAAAATATATATATTTTATTGATTATTTACAGAGAGGAAGGGAGAGAGATAGAGAGCTAGAAACGTCTATGAGAGAGAAACATCGACCAGCTGCCTCTTGCACACCCCCTACTGGGGATGTGCCCGCAACCAACGTACATGCCCTTGACCGGAATCGAACCTGGGACCTTTCAGTCCGCAGACCGACGCTCTACCACTGAGCCAAACCGGTTTCGGCGGTTGGAGAACATTTTGTTAGAAGACCTCAAACTCCATGATCTTTACTTGGCTTATTATTTTTTTTAAATTGATCTTGATTTTTGAAAGTATTACAGATGCCCCCACGCCACCCAGATCCGCCCCATCCCACTCCACCCCCAGGCCTGCACCGCACTATGGTCTGTGTCCACGGGTTACACATATATGTATGTAAGTTCTTCGGTTAACCCACTTGGCTTCTTAACACACTGTGCAGATGACATTTGTGACACAACTGACATTTCTGTTTCAAAGCAACTCCATTTTAGAATGAGGGGAGAGCAGGGCCTGGGGCCGGATCCTTCTTGCCATACTAGGAGGTGCTTGCATTGGCCTGGGTCTTGCTTCCTAAATGGGGTTCATCAAAGCCCAAGCTGGCCCTGGGGAGGACCTCAGGCCCCCACCAAATGGGCTTCTCGACTGTGTCAGCAAGTTGCCAACATGAGTGCCAGCAGCTGCTTTGGAACTGGGGCTTTGCCTTGTGGTTCCTCTTTTGAAAACTTTCATTTTTATTATGTGATTTTTGTGCCACCATAGACAGTGGAATGACTTTTTGCTTTATCGCTACACCTTTCATCGGGTTCTCAGCCAATGATAGGCCCCTGTAGTCCCAGACACACCGTGTGTCCTTCACCACCTCTCAGCCCCTCTCCTCCCTCCTTTGTCATCTGCCTCCACAAAGCGCTCTTTGTGGTGTCCCTCTCTTGCCTGCCCCCCTCTTTCTGCACAAAGTGCTTGCATCACACCCTCTCCCCCATCTCCGGTGGCTTTGTTCAGGGCTCGTGATGCCATTTGCTTTTCCTGTTCCCCTCCCCACAGGGTCTTTTCCTCCTTCTGTTTACGCTGTGGGACTCGGAGGCCTGATTACTGGCCTGATGTGGGCTTTCTGGAAGTCTCCCTGCTGGACTCCTTGGCTCTGCCCGCACAGGCACTGCCTCCCTTTCCTCTCTCAAGAGAGCAAGGTCCACCCTGGATTGCCCTTCTCTTTCTGGCTCTCTTAGGAAATTGTGTGGCAGCTCCGTGATTAATAGACTTTATTTTTATCTGGTGCCCTTCAGACATGTGATCCCTTGGGATAGAAGTGACCTTTGGAGAGGTCATGAGGCCCACTCTGCACCCCCGAACTCAGCAAAGAATGCTTTTAATAATCTCTTAAGTAGAGAGGTGTCTGGTCGCCTCCTTGAATGTCCCCGGAGATGGTGTTACCATAAGCTGACCTTTCTTCCATGCTTCTAATCGTGCTCGGGGTGATTGTTTCTCCCTAACAGGAACGGAAATGTTTCTCTTTCATAGGCTCCCTTTCTTTCGTGCATCTTTCCCCATCAAACAGGTACATTGAGATTCTGTCTGTTCTGGAGGCGCTCAGACCCTCTCCCTGTAGCCTCAGTTTACCTGGGGTACGTCCCCTAACCTCGGCGACGGCCTGCTCTGAATTCCCTTCCAGCACTCCCAGGGGAAGTAGCACCAAGGCTGTTTGGCTGAAAGAGTAACAGACATGCTTCCTTGTTTATCTTACACATCACTTCCTAACGCCACCCACATCTGCAGACTGTGGAAGTATCTGACCGCCCCGTTGCACTGTGTCCGTGACTTCCCACATGGTCAGAGGTAGCTAATGCCTCTCTCTGTGCTCTTTTCAACTGATGCATTTGATTATTTCTTTGTCCATGAATCACTCTGCATTGGGCCCTATCAAGTCTCAATAAAGACATAGAAGAATATGTGACTTCAATATATAGGATTCAATAAAGGCAATTGTAAAGACATTGCCCAATAGTAAAATTTTATTCTCCACAGATTCCTGATCGCTACCATTTTTGTATCACCTGTGGTTTGATTTGCATAATCCTCACTCCATCTTACAAGTTAATTTTGAAAATATTAGGCCACCTTGGACCTCACCACCTCCTTCCGGGTTTATGGGGAGTAGCAGTCATTTCAGATGTGATTGCATTTAACCCTTCCTGGGTTATATGTCTAAATATAGTTGCCCTGCTATGTTCTTGGCCCAAGCTTCCCTTTCAAGATGGGTGGCTGAAATATTAGCTTAGCCGTTAACTTCAGGTGATAGATAGTTTGCCTATTGCCTTTCACTCAGCCATTGGATTTATTTCATCTCAGGGAAACATTAAATCATCTGAACATAATTTATTTTTTACCCAACCCACGGCGCGTGTGTAGATGGATACTTCATTTCCCAGTCTCTATTAATTATCTTGAGCATTTACCAAGCTTAGAGATTAAAGTTCTACACCCTGCATCTTTGAGGGGGAAGTAGAAATACTAACTTTTCAGAATGACTGGTCTATTTCATCCGAATTCGAAGGTTTCTGGCCGACCGCTCAGCCCTTTTTTATTCCCTGCTTTTTGCATCTGGAAGTTCTGTCGTCTCCAGGAATTCTCCAGGCAGAGTGCCACTGGCTTGCATCACTGTTTTAGTTGGTCTCTTTAGCATCTTTCCAATCCGTTCAGCGCTGCTGTAAAACTCAGCAGTCCCATATCAAACTCAGCAATCCAGCACTTGACATTAATTAACGTAATAGCTTTAAATCCTCATAGTATCGTTAGCCCCCTTTTATATGCGGTACGATAACTGGAGATAGACATATGAAAGGAATCCTCAAGTTTGGGCTGCTGGGATGTTTTAAAAATCGTTTCGAGAGTTTGCCTCTTCTCTTCCTGACTGGGCCCGACCTTGCGTTCTCTGTTAGCATCATTGGGGCAGGCTCCTGACGAGAGGCTTGAGTTTCCATTTTCTTTGTTCAAGGGGCATCATAAGAAAGAAGGTGGCAGTAATGGGGTGAGATTTAGGGAGAGGAAGGACATTTTATCTCTAAGCATTAGCCATTTGGGGAGGAACAAAACAGGCAATTTCCCTTTTGCTGGCACAGTGGAAATGATTTGTGAATTTCCCCCTCCCCCCCTTAAAAATTAATGTTAATATGGAACATTTAACATTTACATGTTTAATTTAAAGAATATTTAAATGAGACCTACTCTTTTAACAAATTCTAAGTATACAATATGCATTGTTGCCTACAGGTGCAGTGTTGTGTAGCAGATCTCTCTTTTTAAAAATATTTTATTGATTTTTTTTTTTTTTTACAGAGAGGAAGGGAGAGGGATAGAGAGTTAGAAACACCGATGAGAGAGAAACATCAATCAGCTGCCTCCTGAACATCCCCTACTGGGGATGTGCCCGCAACCAAGGTACATGCCCTTGACCGGAATCGAACTCTCTATCCACTGAGCCAAACCGGTTTCAGCTAGAGCTTATTCCTTTTGCTTGATGCAAACTTAGGCCCGTTCTACTCTTTATTGCTATGAATTTGACTTTTTAAGATACTTCATCATTGTGGAGTCGGGCAGTATTTTTTTTTCTTTCTTTCTGTGATTGGGTAGTGCGCTTAGTGTAATGTCCTCAAGGATCATCCATGTTGTCACATATTGAAGAATTTCCCCTTTTCAAAGGACAAATAGAATTCCATGGTATGTACCTCCCTCATTTTCTTCCTTTTTATTCACCCGTTGGACACCTAGGTTGTTTCCACACC